CCCCAGCAGGACCCAAAAAGTTCCTTAAAAATAGATGGAGAAAAATTCCAAGCAATATAAAGAGGAGGAAAATAAATAACTTCCTGCTGTTTTCCCTCGGATTTAATTAGGAATTCTTCTCCATAATGGAAAGAATACACAACTCTGGCATTGGCTYCCTGCCCCACTTACTGTCTGGGCAGTGCCGCGGTGGAAAAACATTAAATAATAATAACTCGGGCCATCTGTCAGCACTGCTCTGCACYGGCCAAACCCCTCCCAGCGTCCCGGTGCCTCCCGGAGCTCCTGCCGGGGCCGGTTCCTGCCCATCCCCTGCCCTGCCGAGCAATTCGATCCTGAAACACAAAGGAGAATTCTGGATAAAGCAAAATTGGGTAATTCTGGGGAACGGCAGCTCCGTGTCCCCCACACTCCTGATGGGAGGGAGAAGGGGATGAGTGGAGTGGATGAATTTTCCCAATAACATGGAGCTGGGAACATCTGTTTGGTGACTTGGATAAGCAGGAGAGCCGCCCATATTCCATTTATTTCCCTCTGCCATTCCCTGGGAGTGGAGCCACAATCCAGAGACAGGAATTTCAGCCCCAAGCACCAAAATTATGAAAGTGCTTTGTCTTTCCAACTTTGGAGAATCATGGCGATGCTGCTGAATGGGGCAAAGGGAGCTCCTGACATCCTGCAGGAATCCCTCAGGTGGGAAAGGTCTTTGCTACCGGCCAGAAAACCCCAGGGAGCTCCACGGAGTGACCCCACAACCCAAATATGTGTGCACCAGTGCCGAGACTGACCCTTTTCGTTTTTTAATCAAGGTGACCTTCAGCTCAAGGCCATTTCGACAGGGCTTGGAGCACTCTGGGATAGAGGAAGGTGTCCCTGCCACTGGCAGGGGGTGGAACGAGAGGAGTTTTTAGATCTCTTCCATCCCAAACCRTTCCRTAATTCTGTGACAAGAAGCACTACAGCCCCGTTCAATTTTCTGCCTGGCACATTTTGACCTCTCTGCTGCTGAAATGCACGTGGGGCTCCATAAACAATAAACTGCCCCGGGGTCAGGCATGAATCGAAGCTTTGACATTCAGAGAGATCAGATCCTGAAGGAGGGCTCCGAGTGGAGCCTGCAGGGAACCCGCCCACAGCCCTCRGGGCTGTATTTCTTCCCTGTGCTAATTTTACTAAAGACACAACTCATATTCCTGTTGATTGAACAGTTTTGTGTTGACAGCGTTGAAGATTTGTGATGAAACTCATCATCAGCCCCGAGAACGGGCCATTAGTCCCCGTCAGCGCGGCCGGCGAGGGCTGGGATATTTTATGGCCCGCTCTGAAGACAAACATACACATTTATATGTCACTTGTTGCAATATAAATGCGAACTTGTACTTCTTTCAAAACTTTTAATGAATTGTAAACATTTTGCAAGATTTATAGCGAGAAGCGAACGGCTCAAAATATTGCTTTAAACATATTTGTCACTTTGGCAACAGAACAAAAAAWATCTGGAAGATATTGCCTTTAGAAATAAATCATAAATATATGCGTCCTAAAAGAGTTTATTTTGGTCATTAATAGTTGATGCTCCCTCCCCCACCCGGTKCAGGATTTAAAGTTAAATTATGCAAAATCAAAAACAAACCTTATAATACTTAATCAAACATGCATAAAACTGTCAGGGCCAAATAAATTCTCTCAATTAACTTGCTTCAGATTGTGATTGCATTTACTAATTTAATCAACACTAGAATAATTTGGAGACTGGGTAATGATGAATTGCCACACGTGAAGGGCCACTAAGGTGGTGTGCTGAGACAGGAATGCAAGAAATGCTTTCGAGGCTGAGGGCAAAAAACTTACAGCTGAGTTGTCACAATCATTTTATAATGGAAACATCTTTTTCTGCCCATTTGGAGGGGAATTTTTGTCAGCAAACGCCCGTCATGGACAGACCTTGTCTGGATGAATGGCTCCAATGTTAGCCCACGGAGTCAATCTCATTTCAGCCYGAGATGAGCGAAGGAGTCAAACCTACAGAGACATTCCCTGCACATTTTTGAGTCATTTTGTGAATGTGATCTTTCCCTGTGAAATGGTGACCTCCAGCCCTGCTGCCTGGAACCGAGTTATGCTCAAATCATTTAGGCTCAAGCTGGAGGAACAGCCCTGTAATTTTGAGATGTCCTTTAGCTCAGTCCTTTTGCACTTTGAATGGATCTGCACTTACAATAAAATGGGCCTGACCCCTGCCTAGGAAAGTTTTCAATACTATTATTTGTGGAGAGCTAAACATCACTGTTTTGCAGGCATAAGCAAGGTTTTATGGAGAGATTCTCATTTACAGGTTCGTGTGAAGGAGGCTGTAAGGTGTATTCAACCCTATAAAATACCTGGACCTCARAAAAATCACACTTATGTTTGGTCTTTAACCTTTCTACACCTGTTTAACAAAAAATAGCAATGTCCACATAGCTGCTGTGGGAATGAGTTCATTGCAAGACTCTCCTCCTCTCTCTCTCTGCAAAATATACCTTCCACAGCCTAACTGACCATTTGGGTCACTTTTTATATGAAATGGGGATTGTGCTTTATAAACRTCTGGCACCCAGCACCACTTGGTCCCCAGCAGAAATCAGTGAATAAAAATCCATGTGCTGAAAAGCRTATCCAGAAAAATAGCTAACAGGTTCCCTTGGATGACCCAGAAACAATTACTTCCCCAGCAATTCCACAGCCATATAGAAATCCATAATTCTTCAGGGCTTAAAGATAATAAAGTGTTAACATGGTATTTTTCTAGCATTCACTGCTGCCTTCCTGTCATATCCAAAAGCACCATTTAAAATCAGCATCATCTTAAACCCCCTTGGGCTTTGCTGAGCAAGAAATACAACAAATTAAGGAATTCATTCTTTCCTTTTCCTTAAAGGAGATTTAGGATTAAGYCTTGCCCTTAAATTTTAAATGTAATCGATCCTCCCCCCAAATCTAAAGTGCAAAAGCTTGTGAAATAGTTTTTCCTTATTACTTCTTTGCAGATCTCATCTCATGGCTGAAAATGTCAGCTTTAATCAGTTTGAGGAGATKTTCATGTGGTAAATAATAATGCAGTCTATTAGACCAATCAAATAAAAATATATTTAGGAGAAAGTGGAACTTATTCCCAGTTCTGCAGCACTGCAAACCCCGGGAGCAGCACTCCAGGTTCCCCCACCTCCCCAGGGCTGCAGAGCAGCAGCCTTGGTTTGTTTGGGGTGTTGTTTGGGGTTTTGGCAGCAGGGAGGGAGTGATGGATGTACAGAGGAGGGAGTGAGGGATGTACAGACCCCCAAAACCTGCCCTGAACACCCCCTGCCATGCTGGCAGTGCCAACTCCATGCCCAGTGCCAGCGCAGATGGTCGGGCTGTGGAGCTCAGCAAGGCCAGGCTGCCGTGGCCCTGCAGGAATCCTCYTCCTGCAAGAGTTTTATGGATATATATTTTACAGGTGACTTGCGAAATATAAAACTAGAGCAGTCTGCAGTTTCTAAAGAAATAAATGATTGGTGTGAGGCTCGGTGAGACAGTAATGTTTGATGTATTCCATCTACGTGACACCTCAGGCTGCTTTCGGGCATAATAATCTGCTGTCGCCAGCCTCTGCTGCACTAAAAACAAACCAGGGGATGCTCGGGGGAGGCTGGGGGCTGCCTGCCTCCCCTCTGTCCAAAAAAACTGCTCCCTCCTCCAGTGCCAGGGTGGGTGGGATGCCAGTGAACCCAAAAAATGTTGATGTGCATTAAAAAATGTGTGTTGTCCTATAGAGTGGACATTTCACCCCAAAAGAGAGAGCCTCACTAACCTGGCTGTTCCCTCYACCTCTGGAAAATGGGAAGGTGGTTATTTTAGAGATGCTGGAGTCATGGAAAGATTCCTGCTGACCTGCAGGGGCTGGAGCAGGAGCCAGCTGCACACATATGGTGAGTGAGTAACTGTCTCTAAAACAAATGAAAATAGAATCGGATCCTTTGCCAGGGACAGAATTCCTGCCAAAGCTTGTTGCTGCATCATGTTGGCGAGTCCCGATCTGGCTGATGTCAGAAACTGCCTATTATGCAGAAAACTCTCGAGGAGAAGTGTCATTATTGCCTTCTGTTCCTTTGTAGGCTGGGTCTAATTTAAGCAGAAGG